TTGTCTTATTGCTCAGAATGGCTTAGAATAAAATAAATCACCTGTTAGATCTTTAATAATCTAAATGAAACTTCAATTTAGCTTGATGGAAGTCTTTTATGAAGTGAAACATTAAATGAATTATATAGACTAGATTCGTGAATAGGAGGGATTTCTTTAAAGGCAGAAAAACTCAAAGATTTTACTAATGTAGAAATTGCACCAAATATCCTTTTTATATAATCCATGACTTTCATTCCATAATATAATAAATGGAAGAAAAGATTAACTTCAGAAAGAGGGCATATTTGTGAACTCTGGAAAGATAGCATTTATTAGAAGAAATTGGGAAATCAGAAAGTAATGTCGAATAAATTATGCCCTAAATTACTAAATAATTCAATAGACCTCCAGTCTGATTAGTTGAAATAAAATAATTGAAGATTTTGGAAGTTGTAGCAAAATAATAGGCGGAGCATCCTTTGATAATAATTGAGTAAAGACTGCCAAAACGGACTGAAACTTAAGTACATTTTCTCATCTATAATATTCTCCTTTTATCTACTCTGTTATTTAAAGAGTTATTCTGATGTTTCTTTATGTAAAGCTTTTTTTCAGGCATCTAATTTATTTCCTCAAATTTTTAAAAAATTAAGTGATAATAGCCAACTTTCTATTGCTTTTTTGTAATAATGTTTTCATATTTCTTTCTTTTTTTAAAATTTTCAGTGTTGAAAGGTATTATCATTCTTGTAGAGGTCATAGAACCTTTAGCAATTTTTCTGAAGGAATTCTGAGGTTCCATTCCTTCATTCATATTGATCCTAGAGGTTTGTTATATATGGAAGCTTATTTTCAAGAAGAAGGGAAATAAAACTGCTTAGACTTGGGATTCAGTTTCATAAATGTGACGTCTTAATAAAATAAGTAGCTTTAATTATTTTTCTTTATTAAAATAGAATCGTAAAGAAATTGTATTCATCAGTTCTTTAAACTAAGTATAAAAACCCATACGTAGGTGTTGGGAAGTTACAAAAAATAATCTTTCTTTAGAAAGTAACACATAACCAGTTTGTATTTTCAAAATATCAAGTAATATATAACATGCTTACATCTGTTATTTAAGTCACCAATTGAAGGATCATAGTCAAAATCCACTACTTTGATCTAGGGGTAATCTTAAGGTCTAATACTGATTTGAATGATCTGAAATCAACCTGGAAAATGTTTTCAAGCCATTTTAGTTTCTCTCCTCCCAACTGTTTGCTTTTTATTCCTACCTGGAAACAGTTGCTCATTGTCCACCCTCTCAACTAGCTTCCTTGCCCTAAGGCAATGTTTAAAAGTATTTGGGTTACAAGATGTTTCTCCATAAATAAAGTACATGTTGTGCTGTCAATAGAGTTTGCCATTAAGCAGCTCTGATACAATCTACCCCTGAAGGGTGTTTTTGTTTATCAAACACTTACCTAGTCCTTACTCTGCCAGGTACTGTTTCAAGTACTGTATAAATATCAACTCATTTAGTCTGGAGGTAGATAGTGTTGTTATCCACATTGTGCAGATGAGGAAACAGAGGCATAGAGAAGTAATGGGGGAACTGGGATTGGAATCTAGGTTGTCTAACTATATAATCTTTGGGCTATTGCCTTCCCAAGTGTAAAGGAAGTATCAGTACTAAAGGCAAGTATGCTAATGGTTCCTAATGTCAAAAACATTTTTCTTGGATATGCTTGAATTGAATAGATAAATAAATCTTGAGATGGTTACCATATTGTCCTACATATTATTTTATACTTCTTGTATATTATTGGATGAGGCATTCTATCTCTGGAAGATACCTAGGCTTTGGTACTTAACAGAACTGGTTTAAATTGTGACTGGTAACTTAGTTATAATTCTTATAATTACCTATATTTCTAGATGTCTTCAACTATAAAATAGAACTAATAATACTTCATAAGCTAGTTCTGGTATTAAATGAGGTAATGAATATCACAGGCCAAGTACATTCAAAGCATTCACTAAATGATGTGTAGTATTAAATGTTATAACTAGAATGATAGAACCAGAAGCCCATGGTAAAGGAGACAACTCTAAAAACAGCATTGTGTTATCAACTAAGGATGGTGAGTGAAGTACCTGCAAGCAAGTGTCAAGATACCTAACCTGCAAGTGTGGGGAATAGGGTGTCAGGGAAGTCTTTTTGAAGCAAATTAGGCCTAACTGCTAATAAAGAAAATAACATTATTGCTAACTCCTAAGTGAATTAATAATCATTACATTATTATTATTACTATTATTAGGAATGACTAAGATAATAGCAGCATATTTTAAATTTTGTTTTAAAAGATAAATTTTATCGATGAGCAACATAGACTTGGTTTAGCAATAACATTTTTGTTATTTGTAGTGTATGTGTGTGTGTGCGTGTGTGTGTGTGTTTAATTTTCCCATCACAGTTTTGGACATATCTTTTACCTTTGTTTGTGATTTAGCTACATTGTGTCATTCCATGGAGAGAAGACTTTTCCCTTAATAAACAGCAGGAAGCTGTCCATTTCCAATGGTGCTGACTCATGCAGCAACAGTAAGATAAAAGATACCTGAAGATGGGAGGTGATATGATAAGCTTTCCACTTCCTCCTGAAAGGGGACAATTTCAAGCCAGAATTACAAAGCAGTATGTATGATAGATAACTAAGCCACAAGTCAGAAAATTTTGTCCTTATTTATGGTATTTTTATTTGTGCTTTATTCTTGGTCCACTGACTTACCCATGAGCAAATAATTGCTAATACTTACTGCCTTTTAAATTTATGGCTCCTTTCTCCAATTATAAGGTGAAATGGGACTATCATATTTACACATAAAGTATTGGCTTCCACTTCTAACTGCTGGTGTGTATATGGGAAAAGAGATAACTAGCACTTATCAGTCATGCTTGGTGCCAATGAATTCTTATTGGTCGAATGAGAGAAATATTGTTGAATGGATTTTGATTGTACCAGGTATAAGTAAATGCAAGAATTGTTAATATTTGTCATGAGTTTGTTGTTGACTAAGTGCTGCTTTTTAAAATTAAAAAAAAAAATCATTTAAATTAAATTTATTGGGGTAATATTGGTTAATAACATTATATAAATTTTAGATATAGGATTTTATAATACAATGTCTTTATACTCCATTGTGTGCTCACTGCCCAAAAAAGTCTAGTCTCCTTCTGTCACTATATATTTGATCCCCTTTACCCTTTTTGTCTTCCCTCCCACTCCTCTGCCCTCTGGTAACCACCATTTTGTTGTCTGTATTAATGAATTTCTTTGTTTTGTTTGTTGCTTTTTGTTTTATATCCCACATATGAGTGAAATCATATGGTTCTTGTGCTTTCCTGTCTGACTCATTTCACTTAGCATGATGCTCTCAAGATCCATCATGTTGTCACAGATGGCAGTATTTCATCTTTTTATGACTGAATAGTATTCCATTGTGTATATATACCACATCTTCTTTATCCAGTCATTGATCAAAGGACACTTAGGTGGTTTCCATGTCTTGAAAGGTTGCTTTTTAATTATCGAGATTTAGAAAACAAATCCAGAGGACTTGAAAAGAAGAGTAGGGAGCATTGATAATTTGGAGAATAGTGTCTGTGTAATGTGCAGTGTCTGAAGGACCTTGAAGAGCACATACATGAAGTGGCAGGTAGATTTGTTAGTGACTAAAGCTAGCCGCCACCCTAATCCTAGGCGAACCACCCCCTTCTGCATATCTTTCAGGTACAGAACTTCTTTGTTTGGTTTTCTTTGTTTGGTTTTTATAATATAATGCATATTATATTTCATAAATTTAGCCACAAAATAATGTGTTTTAGAGGAAAGTGTGGCTTGATATGGTTAAAATGGGCAAAGTTTATAGCAAAGTTGATAGGCCCACAGGTCTTGCTTGTTTTGGAAGCCAGGAACTTGGCAGTCCATATAATATAGGGGCCTAACAAAAAGTTGTTAGAATGATTTTCACTTGTAGATTAGTTTGAACATCCTTATACAACACCTAATGTTACAGTCCTCTATGCCTTGTGCTAGAGCAGTAGATTGAGGGACACATTGACAACTAACAGTTTTTATTTTTAAAATGTTTTTGGATGTATAGATGTTTATGCCCATATATAAATGACCTGTGTTCTTCATGGATCTCATAGATGCTTCTTTTTAAATTATAGCTACTTAAAAAGTTCCAGATGTTAGCTAATAAAAGTGCTATAAACTCAGCAACTTCTTTTTCATTTTGACCTCCTGAAAACTGCTATCTGTACACAGTGTTCCTGAAAGAACTTGATTGCATGTAGCATACCCTGAAGCACAGAAGGTACATTTTCATTACTTTCTCATGTATTATGTGTGCTTAGGTCCCTTGATAGGAATTCCTCTTGACATTTGATGAAATCCTCAACGGCCGACCCTTTGCCACAGAAATTACCATGGGACAAATGAACACTTGTGAAACAATGCATTACAGGAAAAACCTATGGCCAGCTTATAGAGGCTGGCTAAGTAAGGACCTCCCTTCTGATAATACATTTCTGGAATACTGCTGTATTTAGACTCTTATCTTACAAATACTTGTGTATTATCGTCCTCATGATGTTCATGTTTAAGTGCTTAATTATGACAGCAGTATACTTTCTCTGTTTCACAGCTGTAAAACAAAGTGGATAAGTACCACGGTATACCTATGTTTCCAGCAATCCAACTCAATACGAGGGAGTTTTCTGGGTTCTGAGGATATAACAGTAAAATATATGTGTGTGTATGTGTGTTTGCATGGGACTTATATTACTTTTTTTTTGTTTTGATCCTGTTATTAATTACATGGGTGTCCATCGGATGATTATATTGAACACTTTTTTTTTGTATAAAATTACACTTCTGTGTATGATAAGAGAAGGCCAAAGTAAATAGCATTTTATCCCTGCCTTCATGGATAGAATAATAATTTAATATTGTTTATTTGAATTCCAGAATATATGTTAGTAGATTGAAAAGAATGGGCCCTACTGTGCAAAGCCTTGGGTAGCAACCTAAGAAGATGAAGTCACTTGTGACTATACAGCTAGTGAAGATTTAGGTCAGGACAGGGACATGATTGCTGCTGAGCTTCTGGAAGATTATTCTACCATCAGGGTATAAGGTAAGTTATGAGCAAAATTGTAAGTAAGGAATGGTCAAGTTTATGTCTGGAGAGATTTAATATAGCCTGTTGTAGGCAATGGATGGATAAAGGTGGAGAGGCCAGCTGGGAGGGTATCACCATATTTTAGGTGCAAGTAAAAAGTACCCACAACAATATACTGGAATTAGAAGATATACCTGAGACAAAGAGTAGAAATAGCAACTAAATATAAGACCACAGAAATTGCATGCATGAGGTGACAGAACTGAATGGGTTTTAGATGACCCAGTTTCTGACTTGCCAGCAGATTAGAGTAGTAGGTGTGTGGAAAAATAAGGATGTGAGGAGTTGGGAGAACAATTTAAGCAAGGTAGAGATGGCATAACCAGGGAATGAGGTGGTGGGTAGGAAGTGAGGAATTAGAGCAAACTGAGGCGGTCTTCATTTTTAAGGCATTTAGGACAGAGCAAGCAATCTCAAAGGTATGTTGAGAGGGAACAGAATCAAAGGAAAGGGTTTTCTTTTTCATTTTTTCTTTTTTCTTTCTTTCTTTCTTTTTTTTTTTTTTAGCGTAGAGGAGGCCTGAGACTTTTGTAGGAAGAGAGAAAAGAGCCAGTCCACAGGGATAATCTGAAAATGTAAGAGAACTATTCTGCAGAATTGATAAAACAAGGACTAGGGCTAGCAAAGAGGCATTTTCAAGAAAATGGGTGTGAGATTCGCCTTAGCAAAGAGAAGGGATGCTTAAAAATTCAGAGAAAGGGCTAAAGAGAGAGAGAGTTAAGGAAGCAGAGGAATTTTGAGTTAATGAGAATGGTGGCCATGGAATCTCACAGCAGCTGGGCTCAATCTTCTTGGTAAAGTTTTAGAAGGCAGGCTATAGGATTACTAAAAAGTAACAATAGAATGAAAAATGCTGGCTGATTTGGTAATAGTAGACATAATAAATACATTTGGTGACTGCTCCTCTATAATTTTTATAGCAGTTTTTTTCTGGGCTGAACAAATAATGTTTATGAACTTTGGACAAATATTTAGCAGGAAGTCCCATGAGCCATTCAGTTAAAAGAATCAGATGCCAAGATCGCGTTCATGAACATGACATAGAAATCAATCATGAAAACGTCTTTGGCTTTCTTCCCGTAGCTGCTTAAGGAAGATATTTTGAATACACAAAAGTCTTGGGCATATGTTACTTACATGTGTGACTAATATATTAATCCTGATGTGTCTCAGCACATTAATGTAATTGATATACTATCAAGATAATATGGTATTTGACTCTTCTTAGGTTAGTCTAGGTATGGAGGTGAGATAAATTTGAAATTGTATTATCTTTAGTTCATAGGTAGTTAAATGATTGCAGTGTTACCCTCTGTGTTGTTTACTCTCTCTGGCTTGCAGCTTATAGTGGTACTAACATGTCTAGGGTACGATTCTAGATGAATATGGTTGTATCTGTTTGAGTTGATTTTAGCCTAGTGGTCCCATAGCACTGTGGAGTCAGAGTAAGAACTGACAGATCAGAATTATTCCCTACAAGGCCCACAAATCAGTACGTACCTGCACAGAATGTTAACCACTAAAACGTAACATAGTTTTGCCTTCTTCCACTGATAATAACTGTGTGAAGATATTTTTGCAGAAAAGGAGTAATATCCCTTTCCCATCAGCTTTAGTTGAAAATAGACTAATTAATGAGAACTTATAGATTTTTTTCTTTCTCCATATTGACTTTAGACTATTTAACGTATCCGTAAAAGAGAGGAAATTATTTATTTAAACTGAAAAAGTTGAAAACCTTAAAAATTTCCTTCTATACTTCTGGTTTCCTCTACACACTGTCTGCAGACATGGTAAGTTTTCTCATACAACTTGTCACTCTTCAGTTTACAATACTGTAGTTGTGCCTCCATTAGTTTCTAAATTTTAAAGGCATTTCATTTCCCTTTCTACCTTGTAGTTCTTTGTGCTTTTTTTTTTTTTTGACTGAAATCCTACTATACTTATAAGGAACCTCAATTATTTGTCTCCCCAGAACATGCCATGTGCTTTCTGGTACCCCTGTTTCTATATCTTTGTTCCTAGTGACTGCTCATTCCACTCCAGTTTTCAAAGTTATTTTTTTCTTTTTCTTCAAAACACACTTCTACCTTCAGAAAGTATTTATTGAATCAATTAACTACTTAATAAGAGATGAGGTAAAATTTTAAAAGATTAACTGGAATCTGATTTTAGATGTCATTATGTATTTAAATGTTAGGCCAGTATTTACTGTAGAGGCAATTCTGAGGCAATTCAGTGGCCGAAGCATGTTAGCAGTGGTACCCTTGCATATTATTCATTTGTCTAAAATCTTTTCGTTGTTTCTTTTTATTTAAAGGACAAAGTTCAAGCTCCCTTTATTACTAGGTCCCTGTTTGCTTCTCCACCAGGCCCACTGTGGCTTCTGTCTTGGCCTGCAGGCTTGCATCTGCCTAGAACACACTTCCCTCCACTCCTGTGCCAGATTAGCTGTCACCCCTTTAGAAACCATTCCTCAAATCCCTTGACACCTTCCTCTTCTAGTCTCAGTAGACTGTAGGCTTCATGTGCTTCCATTATTAAACCTTGTGCTGATGACGAAAAGCAGACGTCATAGCATAGTTTCTGTAAGTAATTGTTTATTTGATTGTCTTAACCACTAGGTTATAAGCACTTGGTTATAATCCCAAGTATGTAACACAAGTTCTGCCAATTCCTAGGCCCTGAAAAAATGGGTTGAAAAAAAATCTTTATTCACATTTGTGGATAATTCATACATATTGTATATTACACTGAGTTAGGAAAACCTTTTGAGTTAGTAGAAATAGAGTTTTATTCAACTTATCCTACATCTAATGTATATTCTGTGCAGTATATGAGTTATCTACTGATATGTCTTTTTCTAAGATTCAGGCAAATGAATTCCATTTTATAGAATCCTCCCTGTCAGTACCAGGGTGTGGAAATCTACACGTACATATTATTTAATTCCTGGGTAACGGATGAAGCCCCAGGGCAGAAACAGAAAGGTAAGAAAATATTTGTTATCCAACTTCACACTGTAGCTCTAGCAGTGGTCGGAAAAAGACAGCCTGGGGTGATAATGTAGTGGGTGAGTGTCTTGTGTCCTTACAGTATTTGGCTTATTTGAAGACAAGAGTTAGTTGGTCAGATTCTATAGATGAGAGAGGACAACAGCAGTGACTATCTACTCTGTCTTTTCAGAATAACTGTCCTCTTACCTTTCTTCTGTGAATGTGTTTGTGTTTGAGACAAATAACCCCTAATTTAAAATCTTTTCACTAGTTGAACTCAGGTTCACTTGGGAGACTTCAGTGTGGACTGTATTCCTATTTCTCATCATACTGTCTCTGAGTCATCAGTGTAAAGCCATTGTTTTGTGTTAGTCCCAACCTTGACTTTTCTCTGAGATTTTATTAGGTAATTCTTAGTTACAGGTTTTAATTCTGTCCTTAAGCTGTGATTGGTGTATACCAAGTTATCACCATTATTTTAAAGGAGAGACATTAGTCACTCAGTTTATAATAGTGCAACTAATTTTTATAATATTAGTAGCTGTCACATAGCTGGGGCCACATCTGAATTTAATAACTTCATTGAAAAAGTATATTTATTTTATAATTGTGTTTACTTTTTTATACATTTGGTGGTACATATACATCATAAAGGTAAAGGGCTGTATGTAATTATTATTTTTCTTTTTGGTTTTACATATTTTGACAGTTTAAAGGAATACGAGTATGGGAATTGATGAAAGAAAACATAGTTTTGGTGAAAAGTAGAGTCAATGAGGGAAGGTAAGAAGCTTTAAAAACGATGTAGAATTATAATTGGCACTTGGCAACAAAGAAAACACACTGAAAAATAAAATTATTCTACTATCTTTTTGTACATATGAAGGTAGTTCATGTACAGGAAGAGGTAACGTGTAAATTCCTTTACCCTCTAGTATGTTGTCACAAATACATTTGTAAAAATATATATATTTTTTCTGAGTAGAGCATGCAAATTGCATTACTATAGAGACAGTTATCTGTGTCACTTTGCTTGATTTATGTACCTGGATTACATAATTAGGTCTGTCTTTATCTTATGAGGAAATGACGAATGCAGTTTGTCAGTTCAGTTTTATTCTTTTGGAATCATGTTACATGGGTTATGTTTGGTTTGAGGCAGTATTTGTTTATCGGCTGCTAATCTTGTGTGGTTTTTATTTGGTTTATCATTTTACTTTGGAAGTTAGCCATTCCTTACCTTTCATTCAACTTCTACCCCAAAATGTTGACTGAGATAGAGGGAAAGCATGAGTGAGCAGAAACTGTTTATATTTATTCATGTTTTATTCATGTTTCCAAGTGATTCATGTTCAGTTATCCATTCCCTGAATCACCATCAAAAAAAAAAAAAAAGATTCAGTCTTCTTTTTGCTTGTGTTCTGTATTTGTTAGAACATTCTTAAGGGTTTAGGCCAGTTAAGTTAGAAAAACTCAGGATGAAGTATCTTGAATATCTTATAAAGAAAGCAGACGCTAGTGAGTTATCGAATATGGGTTGCCAAATTGTAGACTACAAGAAAACAAAGTTCAGCGAATGCTTATGGAAACCAGTAATGTACATTTTTTGTTCCTCTCCTAAGGACAAAAAATTGTCTCTTCGTCATCTAGATCAGAGATGAAGGCTGCCTCCCAGCTCATGGAGAATTATTTGGCCTATAAAGAGATTTAAATAATTTGCATTAGTTTCCAACATTCCGGATCCAAAAGTTTTCATATAAAATCTGCCTTTTCATAGCTGCCTCCTGTAATAAGAGTGTGTGCCGCCAGCATCCCACCTCTCTTCTTTTATCCCCTCTTCCCTCCATATACACATTCAGTTAGTTTGCCTCCCCTGGCTCCTGTAGGTATTTGAGTTTGCTTCCCTTTTTTGGGTGATTAAATGAATGATTCGTTTAATGATTATTTGAATCACAAAACCATTGTGAGACATTGCGGGTCATTGGCCTATGCAACTAGGCATTTAGGATCTAAAATAACTCTGAGGCTGAGGGGCAAAGGTCAACACAGTGAACTGAATTTTCTGGGCATTTGTACATTATGTATTTTTCTATGTGTTAAACTGTAACTGCTTGCTGCATTCCAGAAAAGAGGAATTTCTTTCTTCCCTTTATATCCATCAGAAGTTATTTCAGTTTTTATTTTAATGATTAAAAACTCAGTTCTGCTGAAATTTAAAAAATCCAAAAATTCAAATGTAATTTTGAACTACAGTACGTTCTCATTTACTAATCAAGCACTGGGTCTTTAATAAAAAGAGAGAGAAACAACCAGTACTTCCCCTGCAGGAACTTACTATATGGACAGAAAGATATGAAAAGAGACATATGCTTTATTTGATTTATTTAATGTAAATGAAATATTTTTATGTGAATGTATATTAAAATGCTTTGCTTGTTTCAAAGTCTATATGTAAGGGCAAAATTGTGAATCAGTATGAGAATCAGTACATTAAGATAATCTTGTGGAAAGACAGCTTTGGACAGAGACTTTTTCTCATAATCATTGTGTCACACTAATCAAAGCACTCTCTCTTCACCGTCTTCTGTTTCAACCCAACTGACCTCACTTAATAATTTGGTAAAATGAGAAGAGTGATCAGAAAAGATAGTTTGCAGAGTGTATTTGGATTTCTGTTCCACTTTCCTAAAACCCTTGAATGGTACCTTAATGGACACGATATACAATAAAGCTAATGTGGGTTAGATAATAATGTGGTTAAATGGATTTTTCCATGTTTGAACAAAGGAACTGACGATTTAATTAGTGGATCAGTGTCATTCTGTAGAGGTGCTTCGAGTGGTGAATGGGGACTCTGACCTACGTATATATATTTGAGGGGAGGGTTGGCATTTTGCCATTAATCATGGCAAAAACAAAACAAAACTAAAACTAAAAAAACTCCAGGTGACATCACAGTAGAAATGTAAAGCTGACAGTGAAAAATAAGAACCCAGAATTTTAGAAAGCTACCCTCCTTAAAGGTAAGAAATACATTTTGTCTTTTTAAACATATATTTTTGATGCTTGATCATATTGCCCTCTATGAAGGAGGAATTGACTGAATCATTCAATGACATGCAACATGTATTTTGGAATAACAGGTACCAGAATGGCACTGATGCCTTGGCCTCCACTCTTAGAAATTCTGATATAATTGATCTGGAATGGTGTCAAGGCATTAGTGTTTTGTATTAGCTCTTCAGATAATTTAAATGTTCAACCAGGGTTAAGGGGTACTAGTTAAGTCATTTATAAGTATAAGATTTTCTGAGATAGATGGAAGATTGCATATGCCTATATATTGTGCAGTAGCTAATAGTAATACATATTTGTTTCAGGATTTTGCATGATAAGATTGACCGCTGAAGGAAATGAAAATATCCCTAAGAATATGTGATATAGCCTTCCAGCTTAAATGTATTTTCTGAAATATGTACACATAACATACCTGAGTGTATGCATTGTGTGTCATGAGTGCATTAACATTATATGTGCTGTGGATTATGGTAGTGCGTTCTCAGCCTCTTTTCTCCCCAGTTGCTTGCTTTTCAGCATCCCTTTCTCCCTTCAGGCTCTTCTGAGCCTCCACTACTTAAGAGAACATATGAGGGCCACTGGGTTAATGATGGGCATAGAGCTTAATGAACATTTTCTTCTCAGTAAGTAGCTGGGTGACTAACGAGGGAGTAAAGGGGTCAGGTGGATGGTTAGAGCTAACATCAACCTGATTTGCATTTTTCTAATTATTTTTAGAAGGCATTTTGTATAGTTGAAAGTTATGGAGCATGCTATAGTCCTGGAAAATTAAATCTGTGAGAGTCAGGAGATCTGCATCACAGTTTCAAATGTTTAAGGGCCATCTAACTTTGTGAGTTTGAGCAATTTTTTACCTACTCTTGCTTCACTTTTCTTCCTTTAAAATGAGAAGCTCAGATTAACAATCTCTAAAATTCCTTTTAGCCTTTAAAATATAAAATGCTACTTTTGATATTAGTTAAAAAAAAAGCCTTCATGGTAACTAAATACTCTCTTCTCAGCATAAAAAACGTTTAGCTAGTATAACACTCTGGTGAGTGGTGTCGACAGTGGGGAAGGCCATGCACGTGTATAGGCAAGGTGTATGGGAAACCTCTGTGCCTTCTCAGTTTTTCTGTGAACCTAAAAGTGCTCTGAAAAATATAATCTTAAAAAAAAGAAAAATTCAAGCAAAAACTAAATAAAAATTAATGACTTTAACAACTTTTGTAATTTCATGTATATTCTTAATTTTGGGTAATTTTAATTGGAATATGTTTTAGGGTTATGAGTTAAGATTATACCAATCTAAAAATATTTTTATGATCTGGATGAGAGTGAAGGCTGGAGGTATATGTGTGTACTCTTATTATTGACTTCATTTGAAGTGTTTCTATAAAATGTAGATAATGTTGCTTTTGATCGCCTATTTGTAGAGTGATTATTAGTAAAATGGGAATGGAACTGGTGAATTCCTCCTTTTCTACTAAAGAAAAAAATGTAATATAAAAGTTATTACATTAAAAAAATCAGTCTTTATAATCTACCTTAGCTCATGGTCAATACTTAACTCACTGAATAATTTTTAGAAAAATATTTGAAAATCTTTTTTTTTGGTTATTATTTAGCAAGGTTAATAACATCCCTGGATATTTCATGCTTTAATCCTATTGAAAGATGTAAGTAGAGTAAATTAGTTTACATATTTCTGGGGAGAATAAATATTAGTGCTGATTCTCCTTTTGATAAATTTATTTGTGGGATTAACAATGCACACTATTGTTTAAGTATTTTTTAATGTGATCTTTAGAAGAATGTGTGAGAAAACTCATGATAATTCTATAATTAATTTGGGAATTTGCAGAGCCACTAGTTAATTAGGTATTTCTAAACTAATATGTAAATCTCTGGCCAGTGCTTTGCAATGGGATCATTGATACCTTTGCAGAAAGTAAAATTTTGTTTTTTTAAAGTGAAAAGAATTGTACTATCTGAAGGAGAGTGCATTATTTTTTCAGAATGATGTTCTAAAAACAGTGTGTGATGTTTGCAGATATTTTGGAAGAAATGCTATTGTTTGGGACATGCCTCTGAGAAGTCTGGAACAAATAAAAATTATAGAGTGATAATGTTACTTTAAGATAAACACAATATCTTGTTTATAAATACTAAAGAGAAAAGAAAGTCATACTATGGCTTCAAATTTAGGAATTTGGTTCTGGAGTGGTCAAGGATAGTTAGAAACGTACATTGTTTCCCCTTTTAGGGAATTTTCCATAATACTCATTCACTATGACTGAAAACTGGCTATCAGACTTTTATCATTCTTGAAGGAGTTACCCAGTATGCTGTAAGAGAGCCTTGACTTTGATGCTTTTTAGCTGTTTTTATCTTGGTTAAGTAACTAAGGTAGCCAGACCTAAGCTTCCTTATCTCTAACCTGGAAATATTAATGGTACCTACCTCATGTAGTTTCATGAAAATTAAGTAAAACAATGCATGTAAAGTGTTTAGCTAGAGACTGCTCTATAGTAAATACTCAGTAAAATTAGTGATAATGTTGTTATCTTGCCTATGAGCTAAAAGTCATTTGTTCCTTTGCTGTTGGCTTTCTCTGTGCTTTCTCTGTGACTTTTTTTTTTTTTTTAAGATCTCATGTGTCCCTGGAACAGTGAAAGTTATTAAATGATTTACTTTAATGGATCTTCTCTTCTAGCTTATTCTAGATAGGAATAATCAGAAAGTAGGTGACAATGTTAATTAGAAACAGCAATTAATATTTTTTATGAGAATAATTTACCTGATGATAATAACTGAAAAACGATTATAAGATTGTCAGAGGGCAGTTTATAGAATGAATTACTTTAGATGAACAGAGG